CTTGGCCCACGTGTCCGGAGGAAGTCCCAGCCTACGCAAGTCACCCTGGCAGACGGTCATACACACAAGTCCATCGACAGGTGCATTGACGCCGTCCCAGTGTACTTTGCCCATTGACGCCGTCCCAGTGTACTTTGCCCCTCACGCAAGTGAGGCGGTGTCCTTTGACATTCTGGACACCAAATTCGACATGATCTTGGGCATGTCATGGCTGCGAAGCAAGGATCACCCGGTGAACTTCTTCAACTGCATCGTTCACGTTCGTGACTGGAACGGAGTATTAGTTCCATACACGGTGCCTCTTCCTCATCCTTCGATCAGCTGCCACATGGTATCCGCCGCAAGCATGCGAGCTTCCATCATCAGAGACGACATCGAGGAGATGGGGGTGTGCTTTATCCACGCCATTCCGCCACATGACGCTTCATCGACGGACTCACCTTCGGATCCACGCATCACCAAACTTCTCGACGCCTACAGCGACGTGTTCAAAGACCCGCATGGAGTAGTACCGGATCGACCCATCCRCCACGAGATCATCCTCGAGGACGGGGCCGTACCTCCGCGCGGTTGGATCTCTCGAATGAGCGAGGAAGAGTTAAGTGTGCTTCGGGCACAACTCGACGACCTTCTAGGGAAAGGTTGGATTCGGCTTAGCTCATCGCCATACGGTGCTCCTGTTCTCTTCGTCCAGAAGAAGAACAAGGATTTGCGGTTGTGCATCGATTATCGCAAGCTCAACGCGCAGACGATCAGGAACGCCGGCCCTCTCCCACGCATCGACGACCTTCTCGAGCGATTGGGTGACGCCTAGTTCTTCTCTAAGTTGGATCTCAAGTCAGGGTACCACCAACTCGAGATTCGCAAGGAGGATCGCTACAAGACCGCGTTCAAGACTTGGTATGGGCATTTCGAATGGCTGGTCATGCCATTTGGCCTTACGAATGCCCCARCCACTTTCCAAGCGGCTATGACGACGGAGTTCCGACACATGCTGGATCGTTTCGTACTTATATACCTCGACGACATTCTGGTTTACAGCAGGAGTCTGGACGAGCATGTGGAACACCTRCGCACCGTTTTGGAGCGGCTACGACAGGCCAAGTACAAAGCAAACCGCGACAAGTGCGACTTCGCACAACAGGAGCTGGAGTACTTGGGACAYTATGTGACGCCGCAAGGCATCTGTCCGCTTGCGGACAAGATCGAGGCCCTACGAGTATGGCCCGAGCCCACCAACACCACGGACGTTCGTTCATTCATGGGGTTGGCAGGCTACTATCAGCGATTCATCACCGGATACTCCAGGATTGCTGCACCTATGACGAGGTTACAGTCACCAAAGGTGCCATTCGTATTCGATGATGACGCACGCCGGTCATTCCAAGCACTTAAGACGGCTATGCTCATGGCACCCGTCCTTAGCATTTATGACCCCACCCTGCCGACACGAGTGACGACGGACGCTTCCGGCTATGGCATTGGGGCAGTCTTGGAACAGCACGACGGTAACGACCGACACCCTGTGGAGTATTTCAGCCACAAAGTGCCTCCCATCCACTCGCTTGATAATGCAAGGAAGAAGGAGCTGCTCGCATTCGTGATGGCTCTCAAACGCTGGCGACACTTCCTCCTTGGGCGTCGTAGGTTCACATGGATCACAGACAACAATCCACTGACCTACTACAAGACGCAGGACACGGTGAGCAGCACGATCGGACGATGGATGTACTTCATCGACCAATTTGACTTCACACTAAAGCATGTCCCCGGCCTCTCCAATCGCGCAGCAGATGCACTCTCGCGAAGACCTGATCTTTGCGCTATGACACATCATGCCCTCGCATTCGATGAGGAGCTTCAACGACACTTCATCCGGGCATATCAGTCTGATCCGGACTTCGGCACGCTCTATGTAGAGCTGTCTTCGGATCACCCGCCGGCCAGCCATTACCGCATTACCGACGGGTACTTGCTCCTCCACTCGAGAGGCAAGGACTTACTATGTGTCCCACGCGACCGTCGTCTTCGGACTCGCCTCCTCGGCGAGTACCATGATTCACGACTCGCCGCCCATTTCGGAGTCAACCGCACTATTGCACGACTTCGACAGCGATTCCGATGGCCCGACCTCATTACCGATGTCACTCGGTATTGCGACTCTTGCGAAGTTTGCCGACGCAGCAAGCCCCGCAACCGCAATCCCTACGACGAGTTACACCCGATGCCTATCCCACGAGAACCCGGTCTCTCCATTGCCATGGACGTCACCGGTCCGTTTCCTCGCGACCGGCTCGGGCACGACGGCATCCTCACGGTTGTGGACCGATTGAGTAAGTATGCGCGTTTTCTCGCTTGCAAGTACTACTCCACGGCTCCCGAGCTGGCACGCCTCCCGCACACTAGTTGGATTTGTGGCCACGGTGTACCAGAAGACATTGTCAGCGACCGCGACACTCGTTTCATGTCGGCGTTTTGGACTGCTCTCATGCAGGAGTCCGGCACAACAATGAAACCAAGTTCGGCTCGACACCCTCAGACAGACGGGCAGACGGAGCGGGCACATCAGACCGCTCAAATGATGCTTCGTACGCTCATCCGTCTGGACCAGAAAGATTGGGTTGACCACATCCCCGACATCGAGTTCGCCTACAACACTTCGGTGCATCCGGCGATCGGCGTGACTCCATTCGGGCTGCACCACGGTGGACGGAAAGGCCGGATCTTCGCCGACCTTCTCCTCCCTCGACCAGCCAACATTGACGCTGCCTGCTCTCCCTCTTCCGTCCGGAAGTACAGGGAATTGCTGACTCAAGCCCGCACAAATATGCAAAAGGCTCAAGTCCGCATGCAGCAGCAAGCCAACAGGCGTCGCGTACCATGTCCCATCCGCGCTGGTGATCTGGTTTGGGTCTCCGCGGAAGAGTTTGCACTGGAACAGGATGTTTCACGCAAACTGCTTCCCAAGTGGTTTGGACCTTGGTCTGTGACAGTAGCCGCGGGCGATGAGCCCGATGGCCCTTCATTTGTGATCAACATCCAGAGCATCTGACGGTCCATCCGGTCTTCCAGGCCTCGAAGCTGGCAACTTACACGCCAACCAAGAGCGACGACTTTCCGGACCGACGATCGCAGGACCCTCCTTCTATGGATGGCCATCAGGAAGTTGACCGCGTCATCTCCGATCGCAAGTACGGCAACAAGCCGCGGCAATATAAAGTCACATTCAAAGCATGCGATCGCAACGACACTCGGTGGATATCCGACGCAGATTTGAAAGCATCCGCACCGCTGATCTACACGCACTATGAAAAGCGAAGGTTAGCTCACGAAGCTTCACGACCAGCCCCTCCCACCCGGACTGTGGTCCCTCCCTCAGACAGACAGCTTCGCCCTCGCAGGTAAGCTCGGTTCTTCAAGGAGGGGGGGGTGTGGCATACTG